TAGATAGATAGATAGATAGATAGATAGATAGATAGATAGATAGATAGATAGACAGACAGACAGACAGACAGACAGACAGACAGACATACATTAGATAAAATAGAGAGAGGGAGAGAAAGAGAGAGAGAGAGAGAGAAAGATGATAGATAGATAGATAGATAGATAGATAGATAGATAGATAGAGATAGATAAATAGATAGATAGATAGATAGATAGATATAGAGAAAGATAAGATAGATAGACAGATAGATAGATATAGATAGATAGACAGACAGACAGATATAGATTAGATAGATGTGTAGCAATCCCAGACAATACAGAATAACTGACTAACAAGAGCTGAAAGGGACCTTGGAGGTCGTCTAGTCCAACCCCTTCCTCAGGCAGGAAACCCTATACCATTTCAGGCACATGGTTGCCCAATCTAAAGATTTGTTGGAGAAACATTGGGATGGAGAAAAAAACAAACCCTTATCTTTCTGATGCTGGAAAAAAAATAATTCCATGTACAGGTAGTCCTCGACTTATGACCATAATTGAGTCCAGAATTTCCTTTGCTAAGCAAGGAATAATGGCTGATTTTATGACCTTTTTGTGCCCCAGTTGTTAAGCAAATCACTGCGCCATGCAGTTGACGATTGCTTTTAACAATTAAAACGATTTGCGTAATAACCGTAAAAGGGGGTGTGATTCACCTTTCTAAGCAAGTGATCGTCTGATCTCAATTGTTGTCGCAAGTCAATGATTACCTGCCTCGCACACCTATAAATCTGCCCAGTTTGGTCGCCGCTGTTGTGCACCAGTCAAAATGGGTGCGGCTCTCGCATTCCATAAGCAAACAGCAGGACTACTGCCCAGCCACACCTTGAAAGAAAACAAGAAGTTGAAACAGGGGTTGTATCTGGCAACTGCAGGAAAGGTTTATTGTGCGCGCACAACGCTGGGAGAATGCGGAAATCTCGTGGAAGGAGATGGTGTAAGTGTCGGTGTAAGTAAGTTCGGAGAAATGGCAAACTTGGCTTGTTTGATTTGAGGAGAGAAACAATAGAATAACAGAGTTGGAAGGGACCTTGGAGGTCTTCTAGTCCAACCCCCTGCTCAAGCCGGGGACTCCATACCATCTTGGACAAATGGCTGTCCAGTTTTGAAATCCTCCAGGGAGGGAGCACCCACTCCAATTTATCATAGTTTTTGTTAATTTACCCAGGTTATTATAGAACATAGAATAATAAGGTTGAAAGGGACATTGGAGATGGTCAACCAGGAGACCCCATAACATGTTCAGTCTCTTCTTGAAAACCTCCATGGATGGAGCTTTCCCCACCACTTCTGGAGGCTAGTCATTTCACCGATTAATTGCTCTCACTGTCGGGGAATTTCTCCTTAGTTCTAGGTTGAATCTCTCTTTGATAAGCTTCCACCTGTTACTTCCCGTCCTGCCCTCAGATGCTTTGGAGAACAGGCTGACCTCCTCTTCTTCATGACAGCTGCTCAGGTATTGGAGGACTGCTAGCATATCACCCTACAGGTGGCTCAGTGGCTAAGACACTGAGCTTGTTGATCAGAAAGGTCGGCAGTTTGGTGGTTCGAATCCTTAACGGAGTGAACTCCTATTACTTGTCCCAGCTTCTGCCAACCTAGCAGTTCGAAAGCAGGTAAAAAATGCAAGTAGACAAATAGGAACCACCTTTGGTGGGAAGGGAACAGCGCTCCGTGTGCCTTCAGTGTTTAGTCATGCCGGCCACATGACCACGGAGACGACTTCGGACAGCGCTGGCTTCTTCGGCTTTGAAACGGAGATGAGCACCGCCCCCTA